AACAACAGGATCTATTGGCAGAAATGCAATATAATATCCATAGGTATGTTTTTATTAGTGTATAATCACCTGAATGAAAGAACCGTTGTGTTTTCGTTACCTTAGAATGAGTCTCTGAAAAGGGAGCGGGTCTTCTTCTGCTTGATAAAAAGACTGAACTGCTGCTAACTTTGTTTTGCACTCTTTGTACTGCAGTGAAAATGCTGTAAATCTGCAGTTCTGTCACTCTCTTAATATGTAGAGTATTCTGTTTCCCCATGATCTACCACTGCTGCATAAGGACCTGACTAAATGGAGTGAATGGAGTATACATAACACCCCTTCTCTCTTAATGGCCCTGGTAACATCTGCTAATCCCTGTGTCGCCTCACAGATTAATTCTTTTGTGAGGTGGTTATATTTGAAGACGCACACACACACACAGCAATTTCAGAAAAAAAAATCTGAATCAACCAACGGTAAGCAGTGAACGTTGAAGACGACCAACACTAAAAGAAAAATCTAACAAATTGAAACTGTGTGGTCAGAGACAATGTCGCACCTGTTGACAGCAACTTAGAATAATTTCTTTAGTTGGCTGTCTGCAGGCTGAAATCTAATTTCCTCTGGATGTGCTTCAGAGCCTTTGCAACACTAATCCAGCAAACAGCTTTTTTTTGTGTGAATATGTAATAGTGATAGACACAGAGATGTCGGAGGGAGGGGGAGGATGTTGTGTGTGTGGCAAGGACAGATGTATATGTCTCAAAAGGTCAAGATGTATTGAATTAATCGTCTGTACCGATCTGTGTGTGTATGTGCGCCTGTGTGAGTTACATGAAGTGGATTTATCTTCAAATGCCAAGCCCCCGGCCCATATTTGATCTCTCTCTCTCTCTCACACACACACACACACACAGACACACACACACATCAATAGACGGAATGTGGTGCTGTGCAGGTATTAATAATAAATAGATTTTACATTATTAAAGCACCTTGATTATTAATGCTAAAGTGTCGAGCAGAGACCTGCAGAGCCCAGGAAGCTCTTCACATGGCACAGCCCATCATGGCCTTCACTGAGAACCTGCATTCTTTCAGGAATTACACTGTGTCTGTGCTAATATTAAAAAGGTTCACTTCAACGGCCAGTCTGACCCAACACAATCAGAGTGTGTAAGTGCAGTGGAGCTTGTGGAATCCATTTTTATCAAAGCTGAGCTTCTCTCCCTCACAGAGGGAACAGCAATGTCATGATTGGTTTCTGAAATTAATTATTTCCAGCTATTAAAAACTGCCAATTGCAGCAGAAGTGATATCCATGAGATGCAGAGTATGTTTTATTCGTCCACACCAGGGATATATTTAAAAGCACCAACATACACCTCTTGTAAATTTCTTCAAATTGGGCACAAATGTCCACTTGGATTAAAAGATGACCTGATTAGATTTTGTTGGTCAAAGGTCACTGTGACCTCAAAATGACCTTGACAAACACGTTTTTGATCATAACCCAAGAATTGATATGGTTATTACGAAAAAATGTCAAACAGATGTTCGATGGGATACAACGATGAAGTGATTACATTTTTATCCAAAAGGTTAAAGGTCAACTTCACTGTGACATCATAATGTCCTGGAAAAACAATTGTGTCTATTATTCATACTATAATTAAGAAGGAGAGATTGGGACCATATTTCACAGTTAGTCACACACTGAATTGTTAAAATCTTTTACTCAAATCTCAATGGTCATTCTGACCTCAAAATAAGTGTTTAGCAATAATTTAAGAATGGACTGGACAATTCCAGATTTCACACATGTCGACTCAGGGGACACAATGAGTAAACAATAATAGCGCAGTACAGGCTTTTGCCTTTCCATTTCATCCATTCCCTCGTTCTGTATTTTGAGTGTTGCATCTAAAATTGACAGAAGAAAACAAAAGCACATTTAGTATACTTATACTCTATAAGAGTACTCTATGTGGCGCAGAGGCAGAGCGGGTCGTCCCCTAATCGGAAGGTTGTTTGGGTTCGGCCCCGGCTCCTGGTGCCACACGTCGAACGGTAATCCTGGCAGCAAGATACTGAAACCCCGAAATTGCTCCCGATGCCGTGCATGTGTGAATGTGTATGAATGCATTAGTTTCTGTTCGGTGGGCTTCCATTTAGCCAAAAATACACTTTATACCTTGTTTTTTTCTATCCCTTCCAAATATTCACTGTATACATTCAAGGATTCAAGGTTATTTTATTGTCATTGTCATTAACAACTTAAGGTTGTAGAATGATATTGTGCTAATTTAAACAAGACTAGTAATAAAAAAAAAATAAAGCTGTCTTTAAGTCTGGTGGTACGGCAGCAGAAGCTTCTGTACCTTTTCCCAGATGGCAGCAGGGTGAACATGCTGTGGCTGGGTGGGTGCTGTCTTTTATTATCTTTTGGGCTCTGCGCAGGCACCTCACCTCGTCAGTACCACTGATAGTAGTTGGGTACCAATGATCTTCTGGGCAGTGATCCTGTCCTAGGCGGTGCACAGCCGTGGTGTCCAGACATCCAGCTTTTATCACATACAGGAGAGGCCTCTGATCATGTGGCTGTTGGTTATAAATGTTTTACCTCAATGAGGTCCTCTATGGGGTTGAATATTTTTAGATGTAAATGTAGCAGAATGTAATAAATACTAAATAATAAGTCTTTATGTACTCAACTTAGACCCTCGCAGGTCATCTACAGCTAGGTATTTTTATGTAAATGTAACAGTTTTTCCATAAACGTGTAAATTTGTCTGGAAGTAATGAGTTTTTGGTGTTGAGTTTGAATGAGAAAACAATTTGTGAAATTTTTTAAAATGTCACTAAAATGTGAGTAACCAGTTCTAAATAACTAGTTATTTTTCACATATTCCATTTGTAGATTTGTTATACATCTTATCTTGTTGTTAAATGAAACAGAATTGTGGGTAGAATGTGATTTCGGATGCACTGACTATTTGACCAAACAATTTGAAAAGTTAATTTCATAATTTTCTTCTCCATTTCTAGACTGAAGCAGCCTCCTCCAGCACCATCAACAAGCCTGAGTCCTCTGTCCAACCTGCGAGTGAAGGAACTTCTGTCGCAAGACCCGGACCCTCCACCCTGCCATCCTCCACCCTGCCATCCTCCACCCTGCCATCCTCCTCCTCCGCTCCCTCCACCCCAGGGACGGGGCAGCTCCCAGTGGGCAGCCAGGCATTCCGTGACCTGATGGAGCTGGCTGAAGACGGCATGACCTTTACTCAGTATGGTTACACCGCTTCAGGCCCAGACGAAGGTAACACACACACACACACACACTCTACCTGTCCTACCAGTAGATACTAATGGAAACAAATCTGTACAAATGGATCATGATTAATCAATTTTATGAATACTACTTATGAATATTGGCACTGACTGCACTGGCAGAGAAAATTTACTGATGGGTTGAACTTGCACTTGATTTTCGGTCTTATATATTTTGGTATATTTCATACATTTTGTTTGTGGTTGTAAACTCAAATGTTTGCTTCACGATTTTCTTTGAAGCACAGTCAGTCAGATAAAATCAAATGATCAGATCAAATAATCTTGTGCAAAATCCACGACATTCATTATTATTGTTATTATTATCTAACTGAAGAGGTTTTGTGTTATGTATCTCTTGTCCCTTGTTTGTGTTTTAATACGCTCTATTTGGAATTTTTACAACCTTGTAATGGCGGGCTTTCTTGGCCAGATGTCCCTCTAAAAAGACATTTTAATCTGAAAGACCTTACTTCCTGGTTAAAGAAAGGTTAATTAAATTGTTTGTTTATAATTTTACCCTTCAAAAATAGTGAAATTAGTTTTTATATTGATTTTTTTTAAAGGGGTGAATATCTGAAAAACAATTTTTCTCTTAACTTTCCATTACCAGAAACATGTTTTGAGCTGTACTTGTCACAAGAGGGCCATGTTTATTGTAAACAACATTTTTCAATTTCAGTGTGTACTAGCAGGAAACACAAAACACTTGTGTGGGGGACATAATTCTGGCTGGAAATCACTTTTGACTCATCTGTTTTGGTTGAAAAAACTGAAAACAACAAGCCATTATGATTTATTACTTCTAAAAAGAATTATTAGTTCAATTTTAACTTTTGAATTCATACATCCTGCCTCACTATTGTAAGTGTCTTAATCAGTCATCAGTTCGGATTCCTGATTGTCTTTGTTCCCACAGGCAAGAGTGCTGGTCCGATCACAACCCTTCATCTGAGCGGCTTCGTTCCGGAGGAGTCTGAGGAACGGGGTGACCTCTGCATGAGCGGCTTTGTACCAGAAAAAACACACAAACGCTCAGACGACACAGACAGCCAAGCGAGGAGGCTGACGGGTCAGCACGGAGCAAATAAAGAGCGAGGCAGCCATCGATCAGTAAGACCACTCGTTGTCACACTTACTCTGCCATTTTCAATCTAGATCCTGAATCTTTTTCACCATTTAAATGTAACTAAATCTTACCAGTTGCATTATTGAAGAGTAACTCTTTAATGTATTAAATGGTTTCACCCAGTGATATACTATTTGTTGGTTAAAAATGTTATGAGAAAGCTCTGACTTAGCTCATTTCATCATTGATTTGCAGTTTCTTGACCTTATAAATGTCAGCGGGGTGCTCTTATAGTTCACCTGGTAGAGCTTGGCTGTACCAAGGCTGAGTCCTTGCTCCGGTGGCCAGGGGTTCGAATCTGTAAACTTATGAATAGCAGGTTTTACTTCACATAAGCCATAATTGAATACTACATATAGTTACAAAGGTTTCTCAGGACTGTGTGTAAGAGATTAACCCGAACTGACATGATACATACAGTATCGTACTTCTTGTCTGGTCTGCCCACTGTGTGCTTTAATGTATTAATTCTGAAGTGGACTGACCCCATTGTTTCCTCTGTAGGCGGCGCTATCCCGACTGGCATCAGACCTGAGCAGCATGGTGAACAACCCTCAGCTCAGTGACGTGCAGCTCCAGGTGGACAGTGGAGAGGTCTACTTTGCTCATTCCTTCGTGGTGTACGCTCGCTGCCCCCTGCTGGCAGAAATGGTAAAATTAGCTACTATATAAACCAGGACTGCATAATTCTGTAGAGATCTACATTCTGTTTTTATAGTTTATCCTTTAAATGAAAAATGTATTATGATTAAAAGAGGACTTACTAAAGGAATATATTTGCACTCTTTCCTATTTTGTATTGCAACTGCTGCACAACAATTTCCTGCTGAAATAAATAAAGCTCTATCTTAGAGCTAAAATCTGTCACAATACTGGACACTTACCAGCTAATAGCTTCAGCTCCTCTACTTAAGCCGAACAGAGGCTTTCCAGTGGATTTCAGTGATTAGTGGATTTAGTCCAAAACTTGATTTAGACAAAGGATGAGGGATTTTATACTGAAAGGAATGTGTGCTGTGTGTGTGTACCCATTAGCTTTTTCAGAGACAAATTACAAATAAACATTTTTGTATCATCATTTACAATATTAGTTATGTTATCTTAACATAATCTTAATAACAGTTTTACAAGGTCTACATCTTTGATCAGAAACAACATCCTTACTTTTAATTTCTTTGCATTTTCACTCGTCATCCTCTCACAGGTGCATGAAAGTGGTTTTGGGGTGCAGGAGGAGGGAATGCCTGCAGCCCAGAGGGTGTTGATGAGCGACGTCCCGGGACAGGCAGTGTTTGCTTTGCTGCGATACCTCTACACAGCCCACTGCTCCATCCCAGCATCCCTGCAACCTCATGTACTGGAGCTTGCATCCAGGTTAGTATGCAAGATATGAGCCAGGACATTAATTTCTATTCTTTATAAAGAGCTGTACAGTATAAACTGGTGACCTTCTTTGTTTTTTGCATGTATTTGTTCAGTGTAATGTATTGATAATTTAAAAAAAGACTCCTCTCTCTTCTCTGTTTGTGTTTGTCAAGGTTTGACTTGCAGGAGCTACATCAGCTTTGCGAGCTCCACCGAGACGATGCAGCGACTTATGGAGATGAGGAAGACGACATGCACCAGGATGAGAATGTTAACAACCAAACAGACCAGGCCTTTATGGAGCTGCTCCGCTCCATGTGGAATGAAGAGGATGAAGACAACGAGGGTACGGATACAGACGGAAGAAGCGATGAAGAGAAAGGATTGAAAGAAGATCATCAAGCCGACCACCTCGCAGCAGCTGACAGAGAGATTTGTGAGGAGAAAGTGAACGAGGAAGAGCTGGAGGAGATCTATGATTTTGCCGCCACGCAGAGAAAGAGGGAGGAGGAGCAAGACAGCATGGAGGAGGAGGATGGGATAGATGAAGAAGAAGTGTTCACAAAACTATTAGAACCCAAAAAAAGGTCAACTTGTCTCAGCATAAAAAACCAACTTGAGCCGGACCCAAGCCTAGATCGGAGCTACAACCGCCTCTTCTCAGACTCCTGGGGGGTCTATGAGGAAGGAGACCCTTTATCAGTACCCTCTACCTCTGGCCAGCCAACTTTGTTTCAGTCTTCAGCAAGCGTAGTAGACGACCTTTCCCTCAGTCCTCCACCCAGTGTATCCAACCTGCCTGTCCCAGGTCAGTCCCCTGGTCAGGTGGGTGACTGGGGAACAGATGCTCTTAACCGGGACGTGCCTCAAGAAGGTCTACATTTAAGGCGAGACAGCCAAGGTCGTCATAGTATTTGTGTCCCTCTTTCTTCTGATTCGCCTCAGAAACAGAAGGAACCTGAGCTCATAGTTTTGTCTGACTCAGGTGAGGAGATGGAGGTAGTTCTCAGTTCTCGCAGTCCTTCGCCACATTCCCCTTGTGCTGTCCAGAGCTACACCCAGATCAACCCCCGGTCAGTCCTAAAACCTAATGAACCGGCCCTGGAAAATAAAAAGTCCAGTTTAGAGTTTTCTCCTGATGATCCATCCTCACCAGTTCAAAGTCATCCAGGTTCCGGGTGTGACCAGAGTCTAGTGGACTGTTCTCCCGAAGTGTCCTGGCTGATCCCATCAACACCGCTCCAACATCAACGGAGCGTCACAACCAGCTCCACTCAGACCAAAAGTAGTATGTGCAGAACGCAGCTGTTCCCTAAAGATGACGTTTCTTCATCCTCTGTTTTCTCTTCTCCCGCTTTACCATTTAACAACAGACTTCAGACATCCAGCAGTCCAGGCAGAGTTCCTCCCGATGTTGGGGTGTTTGCGGTTCCCCCAAGCCAAGCTAAGCACTCACGCCCGTCAAATTCTACTTCCTCAAAGCAGGATACACCCCTTCACCTCCATCCCCAGCCTTACAGCAGCACTCCCCTGCACACAGAGCTCCTCTTGCCCCCTGTCCATCTTTCCAGCTCCCCACTCCATAGCAACCTTGATACGGTAGGGTCGACAAGTCAAGGAAGGGATAGGGCGCCATCTGTCAGCCCAGACAAGACAGAGTTGGGGAGCTTTCATCTTTCTCCCCTGTCGGACCGTTCAGTGCCACCTTCTTCTTCATCTAACAGAGGTCTTCAAAGTTCCCAGAGACAGAGCGATTCCTCCCGTCAAAGTCGACAATCTGTTGAATCCAGCAGTCACAACAACACAGGACTGGAGCTCAAGAGGACAGGAATAAGAGATGAGGAAGGAGAAAGAGAAATGGACTGTGAAAATAAAGACACAGATGAAGAGGGACAGCAGGAAGAAGTAAAAGCACAAACTGAAGTGGCAGAAGTTGAATCCACTTTCCAACAGAGTTTCATGGCCATGGACGAGCCCCCAATAGCTTTCAACGACTCTTGGGGCTTCAACGTCTGTGTGGATGAAAACCCGGGCTGCTTCAGTCTGAGGCTGGAGGACAGCAGAGGATCCAGCCAGCAGGAGCGCAGCCCGGGACAACGAGAAACCGCTGGTTCGTCTTCCTCTACTGACTGTCAACCTCCAAAATCTAGTCTTAGTGTCCGTTTATTGAACAGCCATGGTAGCGTGACCTCATCCTCTCCATCCAAAGCCCACAGCAGACAACCATCCACCAGTGTACAGGCTCATACCGGCCAGTCGTTCACCCTCTCACCACCTCACCCCACCACCGGGACCACACCAGAGATCAACGACAGCCTCCTAGACTCCAAAATATGGGACAGCTGGGATGAGGACGAGGAGGAAGCTCTTCCTCTCTCTCAGAGGGTGAACCCTTCTGCCCACCTTAAAACACCAAGTAGGTAGTCTTTTTCTCACCAAAGTACTGATTTGGCACAAATGTAGTTCTTTAATCTGCTAGAATGCAAAAGTTTTTTAAAACGACTTTCCAGCAAGAGTTTTTTTGTTTTCTCCGAAATCACACTGACATTAGACGTTTATTCATGACAGCATGCTTTCACAAAAGAATGGCAATAATTTCCATATCTTAAAGCATTACAGAGTTGTTATACCTCTTCACTTCTCCACCTTGAAAACAAAGCACCAGTGTATCAAGAAGAAAATAAAACAACCCAAAGCCAAAACAGCCAAATATAGATTAATTGTAAAAACAGTTTATTAAGTTCTGGTGCAGAATTCCGACAGTAGTATTAAACAGTGTCCTGTTTCATCATCAGCAGCACCACACAATAAAAGGCGTCGAACCCTGGTGCCCATCACTCCCATGCCCCACTACTCTGACATGGACACACCGGATCTCAAGAACAAACTCAACAGGTCAGTGGGTTCACTCTCACTCCCGCCCTCACGTTAGAGAAAGGGTGCAGAGGGGCCACGTCTTTTTTTTCTAATCAAGGCTATTAACTGAGGAGCCAATCCGATTACCTCCTATGGTGTCACTGTCAACTTAGTCTGTCTGGCTCTGCTCTCCGTCTCGGGCTCTTTTCCTCCCGTCCATCTGCCTGTTCGTCTGTCACTGACTTTCTCCTCTGTGCAGGTTTGGTGTTCGGCCTTTACCCAAGCGCCAGATGATCCTCAAGCTGAAGGAGATCCACCAGTACACCCACCAGCTTGCCATCTCTGACTCTGAGGATGAGGAACCCTCTGTGGGACACGTAGCTCAGAGGAAAGCCCAACCCACCAGTCCGTTGGCCGCTGGCAACAAACCGGTCTCCTGCGCCCAAACAGCGAAGTTTAAAGAGCCCAGAGTGCCCGCTGCCACCTCACCATTGAAACACAACAGAGAGGAGGACGCAGAGCTGCTTTCTGCCTCACAGGGGTCCAACACCTCCTCAACTGCTGCCAGTGAAGAATCTGAAAGGTACCATGTGTATTCAGGTGTGACACAGCTGCACAACTGTACATTTATTTTGTTGCTATACATATTTTCCAAGGGCCCAAAATGACACCACTAGAACTGCACAGGGCAGGGATGTGCATCACCGTCACTGATGCCGATGTCACGTATATCTTGATGCATTACCAACTTCCTGATACATTAACTGCTAAGATGTTCTGACAGCCTGTTTGACGTCACATTACGTTCATTTTCAATTACAATGATTGTAATTATAGTGTATGTGAGAGAGAGAGAGAGATGTGAGCGGCAGCTGAGCGAATCTCTACAGTGAGATAATATTTGACCTATTTTAAATAGAAAATCAGTGTTGATATTGTGGTGGGTCGCCACAAATAATAAATAGGAAACATGAATAAATCAGATTTTACCAATGTAAAAATGTTAGAAAAGATGCATCCTGAGTTCAGTTCAGAAGAGAATTATATCTTGAACTTTTTTGCTGGTGCATTGATGTGAAATCAGTGAATCTTATAATCCCAAATTGGACATTTTATAGACAAAAAGATGGGAAATAATTGTTAGACTCTTGCCTAGTATAATATATAGTTCTTTCCTGTTTAAGGAAATATTTTAAATCAAGTTTTTATTTGTCTCTTACGAGCAAGTACGTGATTTAAGATTAAAAAATTACTCTAACTAATAATTTACTTTAATTTACTCACATAAATGTGGTACTATGCTACAAACACAGTATGTGCATCTAACCACTCCTCTCTCAGCAGGTCCAACCCAGAGCTGTGCCTGTCCTCTGATGTCGACTCAGACAGCGATGGCGGCTTCTCTGCCTCCCAGACGGCAACACGCCTGCAGGATCGCCTCCGGGCAGTGCGCTCCTTCATCCTGTCTGACTCCAGACTGTACACTCAGATCCTCCAGTACCAACCTCTGGTCCTGTCCCAGCTCCAGCAGCGGCTCAAGGCGGCCGGGATCCGCCTGGGTGCCGCCAAGCTGGTGGACTACCTGGACTCCCAGTGCATCACCTTCACCACAGCCAAGCCGGGCCACTCGGCACCCGGCCGCAGGCGGGGCAAGAGAACGGGCAGAGGGGCAAAGGCGGCGGGGGAAAATGGAGCAAGTAGGAAAAGAGGTGTTCCTGCCATGCAATGAAAGTGACTGCAAGAAAGGTTTAAGTGGAAACAAGACTTTGAGAAGTGGCAGATGTTACGTTAGTGCAGAACATCTGTCTGACAATAACTTTAGACGGAAGAAGCAGTGTGTGTGTGTGTATATATCACTTTTTGTATATATCACATTTCCTCAGGAAAGGTTTTGTATTTAAGTTTTTTGTTCCAAATGTTACATTTATTGTAAACTCAACTGTGAAAATAAAAATGGTAACTGTTTCTGTGCCAAAGACACAAATTGTTTCTCTGGTTGAAAAATGATTACACGGTAGTCACTTGATGTTTGAAATAGATTTTACACTCATATCATGTATGCGATGGTACAAAAATTAAACCGTAGCATGTGGTATTTCACCAACTATATTAATACCAAATGTGTTAAGCCAAAACAGAACAAAGGAAATTAAGTTGGCAGAAATAATTCTTCACACAGGAGATTTTTGAAAAACATTTTAGTTTTTTTGCTGTTCCATAGATTTATAAGAAAAGATCAGCCACGGTGTACATACAGCCAAGTACACTGAGAAAGGAGGCAGGTTCTTGAACAAGAAAAAAAAAAATCTGATACGTCATTCAAGTAGAGAGACGGGTCCTTCGTAGCAGCACAACATCAAGTCAGCGCTCAGAGTTCATTCAGGTCGCTGTTGCATGGGGGGGGGTTTGTGTCGTGCACCCAGTTCTCTCTACAGCAGCGTGAAGCACAGGGCATCAAATCAGATTCCAAATTACGTACGACCCTTTTGCACCGCAGATCCTGGAGACGAGCTTGCCTCCTCTCCGCCATCATGATGCCCTCTCCTATGGAGCATCGACGCGGTGCTTCCTGTCCCAGCTCAAAGCCTCACCCGCTCATGACAGGTTGGCAATGTTGGCAAGGAAGCGCTGAGCCCACCACTCCTCCAAGTCTATGGGCACAAAGTCTGCACAGACACAACAGAGCGAACAGAGAATTAAAGCATAATCCCGGATCTATGATTCATTCATTTTGGTCATTAATTATTCATTTTGTCACATGGACACAAAGTCAACTTCATTTTTAAAAAAAACTGATCCGTGCAGATGAAAAAGCCCAAAACCAGAGGGTCACCTAAGTATAGAAGGATTCCTATACTGAGTTGAGTGAGTTTGAGTGAACAAAGGCAGATTTCTCTCTATGTAAATGTTAGAAATTCTAATCTTTTAAAGATTGGGAATATAAAAACCCACCATAAATGTCCATGGTGCTTTCTGAAACAAGTAATACAATAATGCTAACATTAGCAAGCCAATATGCTTACAATTGTGATGCTAACATGAAGTTTCACCAGGTATAATGTTTACCATGTTCACCAATTGAGTTTCGCATGTTAGCATGCTAATAGTCGCTAATTAGCCCAAAACACAAAGTACCGCTGAGGTGAGCTGAAATACACCGATTTTAGATGTTTCATTACCTGTACTGTAACTACTGTTCATAAGAATTCAAGTGCCTCAAATAAAATAAGACAGTCATTTTATTGCTAAGTGAATCTGTCCCAACCTTCCAGGGCAGTGAGCCACAGAAGGAACTGGAGCAGACAGGTGTGTGCGAGACAAGACGAGGCACACTACAATCAGGGCCGGTCTATCTGGAACAGCCAGGTTCTCGTAGACCAAAAAAAGATTTAAAAATTAAAGTGAACTATTACAACAGCTGCCTTCTGGCTGCAGATAAAGCCGAGCCAAAAAAGCACACGGAATGTGATTCCTGCGGAGAGATGAGAGCAGCTTTCCTGTGGTGTTTAGTAGCCAGGAATAATAAAAACAGCAAGATGACTGGTTCAAAGTTCAGGGAGTTATCGGTTAGGATGTTATAAGACTGAGTAGTAAGATATGAGGGCAGACGGATTTGCTTTGTTGTCGTATTCATTGGAGAATTTTAGCAGGCGAGTGAATGGGAGTTGTACACTAGTCAGAATGATCCCTGTGGAAAAACAGATGTGGGTACTGACTCTTCATCGCAGCACTGGGAGTCTTCTCAGTGTACTGAATGGGCCCCCGGCTGTCAGTTGACTCCCCACTGCCCCCGTCCCCCAGCTTCTGCTCCACCTCCTGCCATGCTGCAAGCAAACAAACACACACAGTATATACTGAATTCACTTAGATGCATACTATGTATCTGATTTTCTCCATGGATGCTTTTTTAAAACGTTAACTTTATTTGGATCCCCATTAGCTTCCACTATGTATACACGCAATAAGAACATGTTTAGACAAGTAAAAGTAAAGTAAAACAACAACTACATTACATTGTAGTTGTTCAGGTTGGTGTTTTTTTTAGTAGTCTTTAAAAAAAAAAAAAAAAAAAACTTACCTTACTGGGGGCTTCAATGATCATAGTAGGTAACTTTTATACATTACAGATCTGCAGGCTGCATCTTTTCTGAGTTTTTGTTTAACAAGATAACTCCCAGTACTCTGACTCGTACTGTGACTGTTGGTCTCTCATCATTTATTGACTACAGACAATGTGGTTGTTTCCTGATATTCCCAAACTCATCAGACTGCATTCCAACCTCTCAACTCTGAGCCATGAGACCCTGGCATGCACTCTGTACTCTTCCTCACACCTAATGAACAGGGGAGTACAAGCCTTGCAGCTTTGCTCTCAGCTATTTGGAGCTGAGATCTGCTTTGGCTTCACCCAACCAGAGTGCTGAGCAGTAATCAAGGTGAGATATAACTAGTGCCCGAGTCACTAGCACTCTAGAGACAGGGGTTAGAAAAGTAGAACATATTATTGTATTCATGCTACTCCTCTACCCATTTTCAATATGTTTTTCTCCCATAATAACTGCCCATCGATTGAACCTGTTCAATATTCGAGGCTGATACGCACGGCTGATTATCAATATTAGTGGCATATCTGTCCCTAAACCGAATACGTTTTACTACATTCAAACCAAGTCTCACATATCCAGTCAAGTAATAGTTGCAGTTCAAATCCAGGAGTGTTCCTTAATTCATTCAAGGCATGTCATCAGTAAATATTGAAAAGAGTAACGGCCCCGGAACACACCGCACTGTAAGTAAAACACACTAAAGCCAAGTAATACAGTTCCAACCACCATATCCTCTCTGTCAGTGTGTGCAAGCAGAGTGATCTGCCTTACAGGCATGCTGGAAATCAGAATTGAATTAATCAAATAAGTAGTAGTCCAGCAGATCTAGAAGAACATCTTTTTCCATTGGCTTGCTCAACACTGGAAGGATACCAAAGGGGCTGCTATTGGCAGCTGAGAAGCTCATCAGTTTTTCAGAAGAGGTATAACCATGGCAGATTTCCAAATCTGGGGGAACAACCCCTCCTCCAGACTCAAGTTAAAAGGTAGTTTTTATACTTTTTATTTTTATTTTTACAGGTTGAAATGTAAGAACACATAGTTTTTTAAGAAAGAGTTGGTTATTATTCAAGGTGACATACCACCCCCACTAGAGGAGCCCAGTTCCTTTCTTGACTTATCAACTTTATCTGCAAAATAATTGAACTACTGAAATGGTTTACAATTTGAATGCAATTTTCATATAATAATAAATCATTAATTTGACAATGACCTTTTCTTTGTTGTTTTCCTACATTTCTGATGTCACCCCTGACACGCAAACATCCCAGGGCCCTTCTGAGAGAGCTGGACTGGTCTGCAGTGTGCGTTTTATCAGCTGTGGGTGAGTTTTTTTCCCAGCTCCACTCCACGATAAGCCTCAAGGTTCTGGCTCGCCTTGAGCACAAACTCTAAGCCAGGCACTATTTACTTACAGTTTGCACAACTTCTATTAGCTTAAACTAATGTGTGAGTGCCAAATATGAAGAACACAACCCATTGGTGAATTGTATGTGTGCATGGGGGTGAGTGAAATGCTATCCACCATCCATGTTTGGAGGTGACATTTGTTGTCATTTCAGCTTACACATTCAGCTGGACTGAGACCCATCAGGTTTTCTATCTTAACACAACTCGACGGACTGTGCCGAAGGTTTTTCTTTAGGTGCGAGCAGCGAGTGGAGCGGCCTTCCCTGACTGAACTTAACAGTCACAAAAGGACGCCGGCGAGCAGTCTTTACTGGCGGCCGTCCAAGAGTAACACAGATAAGATGGTTCATGCCGATTCAGCTCTACAAGTCATTCATTTCCACCAGGGCATGAAGTGTGGTGGGTGAACGGTTCCTTAATCAGTGTGCACTTGCAACTTCTGAGCAGTTACCAAACCACCATAGAATTAGTAAGAGACACGTTAGGGACTAACTGATAATGAGTGATTATCTAAAAAGTGGTTTAAGCCTATATCTAAGAATATTCAGCAGATAATGTAAGGTTAAGAGCACACGGCTAACTACTATTAACGTCTAAGGAATTTACACAATCTCAGTATAAGGCGGTTCTATCAATCTCTGTTTTATGTTACACATTATCAATTCATCTGATGGTTATTTTCTTGTTACTTGATTAAGATTTTGTCTATAAAATGTCAGAAGGTGATGACAAATGCCCATCGAGTCTTTAAATTGCTTATTTTGTCCAACCAACAGTCTAAAATATGAAGTCAACTATCATATATGCTGAAGAACAGTTGGAACCAGCCAAAGTTTGTGCTAAAAATGACTGATTGGTTATAAAAATAGTTGCAGATCAATTTTCTGTTGATTGACGAATCAATCAACTAATTGTTTCAGCTATAATTGAAAACTTTGTCAGTCAGTCAGTCCTTATTTTTGCCAGTTTGAATAGGAGTTTAAAGGTCCAGTGTGTAACATTTAGGAGGCTTAGAATATATGGCATATAATGTATGTAATCGGTATGTTTTTTATCCACTTCAATATAGAAATCGTTGCGGGTCGCCTTCCGTGGAGGCAGCTATGTTGAACCTCCATGTTTCTACAGTAGCCCAGAAGGGACAAACCAAACACTGGCTGTAGATACAGCCACCATAGTTTCTCCCTCACACTTGTAAATGAAGGGTGAAATGAGTGATCTACAACTACACCTCCAGATGCCACTAAATCCTACACACTGGACCTTTAAATTACTGCTGCCCGGTCAGGAAGAAATGTGTTGTAAAAGGAGAAAGAGAGAAAGCAAGAGATGATCTGCCCGCCACAATGCCCCACTTTCCATCCTCACAAACTCTGACCTTGGAAGCTAGAGAGAAAGATCTACAATCTCTCAAGAAGCCAGTGACCTGTGACCCACATCCACTCAGGTATTGATCCTGCGACCCTCACCTTCATACACAAATCTGACGTTCTCTTCATGTGCAGGGGTGAATCCCTCTGCTGGGCTGGCGGTCTTCTGTGTGGCTGCACTGTGGTAGCGCTTCCCATTCAAACGATTGAACACGAGCTTTGGCGGCGGAGAGCTGGAGAGAGATCAGACACAGTTAATTAAAGAGTGTCAGTTTG